ATAGCAATATGTAAGCAGACTACTTAAATTAGATACCAAAAGTGCATATATGGCTAGTTGTAACCTCCAATATAAGGGAGCCCTTGGAGGCACTTGTTTTCTAACAAAACTTAAATAAAATATCACATCCCCAAGATAGAGACTTTAACTATAAAAAGAAAAAATATATATATATATATAACAAATTAAAAACCAATATCCAACATTCTATCTCTATTATTATTATTTTCTTCTCTTCTTCTTTCTTCTGCCCTTAATCTTCTTAACTTCTCTCTATTATTTGCCAATCTTACTTTCAACCTGTTTCTTTTTTCCAACAACTGAGTATACTGCTGCTTCCACATTCAACCATCTTGCACCCTTGTGACCACATTCACTCTCAATTCTTCCAATTCTATCTTTAAAGTTTGTATTTTTTTTTTCTATGAGGCTATCAACTGATGCAAACTATAAACAAGTTTTGTTAAGTGACAAAAAAAAAAGAAAAGAAGAGAAAACAAGAAGATTTTTAAAAGATAATATTATTATCTATTCTCAACTTGAACCACTTCCAAGGCCTCATACAAGGCATTATTGCCATTTTGGCAAGCATAATAAACATTTCTAGGAAGGCTTTGTTAAGGCATTATTATTATTATTATTATTGGAGTTAATGTTGTTGTTATTGTTGTTGATGTTATTGAAACTTACCAAAAAAAAAAAAGAAGTGATAAAATAACTATAAATTTAATAAACAATAATAAAACAAAATTAGACATCAATTAGAGGTTGAGTTACCAAATTTAGAAATCAATTAAAAATTGATTTAATTTGCAATTTATCAAAAATGGAAAAAAATGCATAACATAAATCAGGCTAAAATTTTTAAAATTACATATAAAAATTTATTTAACACAAACTTTTAAGTTACAAAAATTTGCATTTTTTTCACATGAAAGCCCAAGTTATATAAATATGTTTATGAACCAATACCATTCGAGTATTTTATCATAAGAATAAAAAGCAATATTGTTTGATTATTTTTATGTTATTCTCATTCTAGCTCTGGATTATGAGTTAAAAATAAAATACTTTCTATGAACAAAAGGTCAAGTAAATCAACATATATAAGCTACAAAATCCTTTTTTTTTTATTTGGCACTTTTTTGACTTGAAACAGCTGCATTGGCTTTTTTTGCTGCCTTCTTTTTATGTAATAATGAATACTAACTAATTCAGTTCTCAATCATTTTAAGATTTGGAATCTCTTCAGTCTCTAACTTTTCTATTTGTTCTCTTTGTTGCAGATCTTGAAGCATTTCTTTTGAGGTATATCTCTCGCTTTTATTCTCATCATTAGTATGAAAGAAGCTTTTCAATATTTCTTTTACAGTTTCTGTTATATGTTTGCCTTCTCACTTTTTTTCATATTCTTGATTTTCTTTTAAAGCCTACTCTGAATAAAAATAATTTTTGTCTGATTTTTCTTGCTAAATTTGTTTTTTTTTTGTCTTTTTGTTTCTTTGATTCTTCTGTTATCTTATCATTAATTACTAAACATAATTTATATATATCCTTTATCTTTATAAATAGAAATTGATCAATGTAATGTTAACTGAATATACCAAAATGAAAATAAAAAAAATTTTTTTGTTATACCCTTTATCATATTTGATGTTTTTTGTTGAATATTCTCTTTTAATAAGCTAATCAAGTTAGTTTTATTCTTGTCAGCATTATAACTCAAACCTCTTTGTTTAAGTTCTCTTTTGATCTCTAATATTAACAACCTAGTTGGATCAGGACCTATAATTGAACAATCAAATTTTTTTTTGTTATATAGTATGATCATTAACATCAATATTACAAAATTTGTTTAGTCAATATAAATTATTAGTATAATATGCTATTATATAGTATATTACTATCAATAATTTATTTTGACTGAACAAAGTAATGTTAATTATTGCTGTAAATTTGCTTACTATTTAATAATAAAGAAGCTATCCAAAGTATATCTATAATAGAATAATCTGATACTTTAGAACTTGGCTTGGGTTGCTTGATCTTATCTCTTAATTTACTAATAACAGCAAGTGAAAAATTGTTCTAAGTTCTGAAGTAAAGTAGAGCTTGTGTGCAAATAAAACCTGTAAGTTCGCTATCTATTGGCCACTTAAATTCAAACCAATTTAATATTCCAGTGAGCTTTGGCTTTTTGATGTTCTTATAATTTTTATTTGATTAAATATTAGCAACACTTGTGCCTTTAATATTACTAATCACTTCTACTATATTATCTCCTTCATTTATATTATAGCCCAACTGAATATAACATTTGATAACATATGCAATCTAAAAGTAATACTGGTAGATTAGTTATATTTCATTATTATATATATGTTGTGCACCAAATTAATATTTGCATCAGACCAAAATCATTATAATTCTGCTAATAACTACTCTTACTACAATATAGGCTCTCATCTTAATTCTAATAAAACTATAAAATTACATTTTGATTTACAAATTTCAATATGATGCATAGCATATATAATCTAAATTAACTTATGCTAATATTGTAGGCTAAATTTTTTTTTTATATTCAAAATTTTTACTCTCTAAGGTTCAATTTTCTTAATATGAAAAATATACATTTGAAGCCTCTAGATATATATATAATACATTTATTTACATATTTAGTATATATATCTATACTATATTTTACTATATTATATTGAAGATTTATACTGCTAAAATCAGTTTATGCAATTAAACTTTATAAAAATTTTTTCTATAAATATAAAATTTTTTTTACTAAATAATATCTTTAATTTTAGGGTTTATATCCAACCAGGTTTTAAATATTAGCTTACAACAAATATCTGTTATTAGATATTTGAATTCGACTTAGATAAATAGATTCAAAAAGTTATCTTGTAATATTATTTTACACTTAGCTGAGCATGATAAGAATCAATAGTTGTTTTGGCTTCCCTTGCTTCCAAAAAGGTCCAACTATATACTTCAATACCATATCATAATTTCCAATTTGCAATTATTGACATTAACTCAGCACAATGATAATGTCCACCATTATCTGATATAATTTTTATCTAGGATAGTTTTTTGTTAAGATTATTAAAAACAACTTCAAATGCTGAAGCAGTAAACCATGCATCCTGAACTGTGTCAGATGACCAATGATCAAAGACATGAATCTCTAAATTATTATCTGCATATTTAGTATATACTAAGGTTGTATGTAAAGACCATCCTGATTTATTATAAAAGTCTGATTTAACTTCATATGCTGATTTTGGTAAAATTTTTATTTTATAGTTAACAATAATAATAGCATCTTCTTCATTTAAAGTTAGTAAGTTTGTATTAAATTGTGTATTTAGATACATTTTGTGAACTTGATGTGACTAATAATATTGCAATTTTGCTTGATTTTCAAAAATTTGTTCAATATTATTTGGTATTCAAGCAACTAATAAATCAAATAATTCTGATACTTTATTACATTTTTTACAATTAGATTATGAGGTTGTAAGCATTGACCAAATGCATTTTGAAGACAATGTTCAAGACATTCAACATATGGAGTATATCCAAATGTATCTACTTGTAATTCTTTTTCATATTTATATTTCAAATGTCTTTGTACAAGTTCAAGATTTTAATAAGATTATTCTATAATAATATAATTTTATTGTTAGTATCTATTAGGTTTATTATTATACTAAATAGTTATTGCATACAAAGTATGCAATAAGTGGAGTATTTTATAGATGATCTTAATTGATCATTGATCCAGCCATACTGGCTGGATTATTGAACAATTAAGATCAAATATAAAATACATCAAGTATCAGAAGTCTAAAATCTAAATGAGCACTTTGGAAGCCTAAAGAGGTTCTAAAAATGCAAATTAAATTTTAGGCTTCTGATACAGCTCTTATTGTATGTATAGCATTGTAATAACAAATTTATTGTTTTTTATTATAATAGCAATTATAGCACAATGTTGAGTAGATAAAAACTTCAGATATGATATATTTACTAGTTCATTTTTATTTTCAATTTTTTTATTAATCAGCTCTTTTAAGTTATTAAATACGTTATAACCATATTTAGCACATGTAAGACACAAACCACCTAGATCATTTTTATAACAATAAGGTCCATCTTTTAATTACATTAAAATGAAGTTCTTTTCATTCCATTTGGATATAATTCAAAATATTTTTGCCATAGTGTTTCTTTTTGGTTTTTGAGATATTTTAATGGTAATTCATATTCGTCTACTTTGTAAGAACTTAGATTTATTATATTCTTATTAAAAAAAAAACATTTAAACTGTTTTTCACTTTCTTCACTAATGTGAACTCTTGTAATTGTAGATTTGTTATGCATTAAACTTTCTGGACTGTTAATATTACAATAAGCTCGAGCTTTAGAAATTGTTTTAGAAGAAACCTATTAAATAATAGGAAGTAAGTAAGTATATAATTTTAATACATGGGCTAATTTGATTTAACCTCAAAATTATCTGATCATGTCAGACAAAATTTTGTTTAGCAAAGTGAATTTTTAGAAAAACAGTCTTTTTAACTTATTTTGAACCTAAATTATATATATAGAAAATAACATATTTAATTGTAGGTCAAAAGTAAGTTTAAACCTTTCTAATGATCATTTGAACCAACTTTCCAAAAAGCTAAACTACAGAAAATAATATAGTTAATATATTAAACTTTATAAAAACCTTTCTGGAGTACTG